AAAGTCAATTATTCATAAAATATACATAGGTTTAAGCTAAACGAGTAGTACTATGACTTTTCAGGTTAAAATATTACTGGATTTTAAAGTATTAATAAAAATATCTAACGTTACTATGATTGTCCCCAGCTCATATCACTTATTTTTATAGCTAAATTCGTCGCTATATAGTATTATAAAATCTTAAGTAAATTACTTTATTATACAGTTTGCACAGTCATACAGAATGTGTCAGAATTGGGCCTGTCTTATAAAATGTAAAATTTTAAACTAATATTTTTATTTTCTTACATAGGATTAAAAACTAATTTGCAATTATTCTGCACATAGATAACTGTAGTTGCGACCATGCTTAATATAATAATCAACGAATTTAATCCAATACCAAGCATCATTCTAAAATTAGAATATATTTTTAAAACTAAAAATCTAATCACATAATATTATCTATTATATTTCTAAATTTAGAATAAATAATGAAATATATATATAATTGTACTTGATTTGTTCAGTAATAAAAAATACTAATAACATAGGTGAAATTAGGAATAGTTGCCATTCGACTCGTAATGACCATGTTACTCCAATACACTACGTATAAATAATAGACAGATATGCGCATTAATAAATATAAGTTCAAAATAAAATCAAAAGTTAATTATACAGTGCCAATCCCGTTAAACGGTTTCAAATTGAGCATGGTGGCCCACCAATTGTGATGACATACTCCAGAGTTAGTATTTATATACTGGTGCCACTCGGGCCCCGACCCAAACATCTCTAAAAGTATGGCAAATGCAATGACAGCGCCGACGGATGGCATTAGACGTACGAATCGGTGAATGATTTTGCGGATCGGAAACAAATAATTGACGGCTGAAGTGGTATCCGTCCCATGCGAACGGCCTAACTGTCCATTTGCTTGAAGCAAACCACTTACCATAAAAAAGGTGGCCATTGCTAGCATAACACATGACTTCGTTATATCAAACAATTTACTAAATTTGTCCAATTTTTGCAGTTTATTTGCTAACAAATCTATTTGAAAAAGGTAAGTATCAATATAATAAATCGTATTTAAAAATAATTCATTTGATAATTGATATATTTAAAAGTATCGTGTTTATCACACAAGTAAAGAGTATATTATTTACTATTTATTTATTATATAATATTATTTAGTTAATGTTAATCTCCATTACCGTTATAATTTAGATTTTGGTGATTGATCCTGTACGTTTGGTAGTGAAGTGACATTATATATAACGACAATAGGATTCGTATTCCCGATAAACACGACAGCCATTGATCCCGATGTGTGTCCACTCGTAACAGATTACAAGTGTTTTTAGTGATCGAAAAGTTTTCCATAAATAATAGCAAATTTTGTACCAATTCTATGGGAGTTATAATTATTTTAGTTAAAAGTTAGAACATGATTTTAAAATAAAATTTACCATTATTATTTTTGGGTGTTGAATATAATTTCTTTGAGATTGATCCCAAAATAGCCAGCATAATTATTAATGTGAAACAGCAACTTCTCAGTGTCATTTACAACGAATTTGAATATAAATAAATAAGGTTTAAATTTTTAAAATGATATTTAAACAATAAAGTGCTAAATAATTTGTAATACATTATAATACTTTAATCTAGATATTTGTTGTCTAGGTATAGCTTATATAATAAATACAAACCCAATGATGATATGCAACCATTGAATCGGATTATCATTTCTGTGAACGCATTGCTCTAATCGTGCGCTCAATAAGTGTTTCAATGAATCTATTGAAAAGTATCAAATATTTTACCTTGTACAGTACTGTAGAGTACAGTATTTAAATAGTTTTCACATTTTGTAAAAATCATACATTTTTGAAGCATTGCATTGATATCGCGTTCACTGCAAACAGTGGGCAAACAAATACCGATCGATGCGTTCATACCATTCAATTGATCCCTTATTTTGAACTGAATGTTAAGAAATAAGATTTTATAATATGTTTATTAAGTTAGTGTTCAGTTAAATGACAGATTATTAAATTGACGGTAAATTAGGTAAATTTATGATTAGCAAAGTGTCTATGATGACTATTATTGACAAACCTCTAACAGTCTAACAATGGACAATAGTCTCAATTCATTAATAATCATAAATAAATTTATAAATAATACATACAAGCACATTTCCAATAATATGTCGGATGGGTATCTGTAGAGTGCAATACTGACCCAATTTGTTAATATAGTTTCCATTTGTGTGTGAATTAATACCCAGACACTCATCATAGTCTCCGAAGAAATGTGTCGTTCCCTTTAAGATACCGGTGCCTAATGTGGCTGAAGAGTCCACCACTAAATGTTGAATACAATTATTAAATTGTAATATTATTCTAAAAATACTTACTTGTGAACAGCCATTCCTGTTGGACAGTAAGGTTATCGTCCAATAAATCATGGATTACTTGCCGACACTCGACACTAATATCCGTTTCGTTGTAATACGAAAACAATTGATTGGAAATTAAATTCTTATGATATACTAAATGCGAGAGTTTTGGGCAAAATATGGAAAATATATTTATTATTGCAATTAGTTTCACTGATATTTTCATAATTTATAAACAAAACATTAATTTTTTGTAACGTTAAAGTAATGTTTAATTCTAGAAAGTATTTAAAATTTAAATAATAAATTATATTTTATTATTCTGTTACAGCTACATTCAAATAATATATAAAATATACTGTATATTTAATTAGTCATGTAGTACTTTAATAATAGTTTTAAACATTTTGTAATTTATAAATTTTTAAGAAAAGAATTTTAACCAAATCATCGACTGATATAACTGTTTCCAACCTTAAGTTCAAAAATAATTTCCAAATCACTTATATTATGATTGTTGCTATTATTAAGGTTGCAAGGCGCGTAATATTCCGTAATTTGTAGCTTAATTTAAATATTATATATTGCAATGCGGTAGCCCTGAGCCGGCCTGTCCGCCGCCGCGGACACCGTCTCTTCCAGGATCCTCTCATCATCTCAAGGCCCGACCCCAGCCTATTCACACCCTACCCTTGTAACTTACTTCACGGCTTTAGGTGAAGTATCTGTCTGTCCGTTATGGCCAGCCGTTCAAGCGAGACATACCCAGTAGCCAAGCTTAACCACCAATTAGAGAATCGCGTGATTTTTATTCCGACTCTGCTATTGGTTTACCATTCTGTCAGCTCATGTGTTTGTTTGGGAAACCAAAGGTGGCGATGCAATACAAATGCAAATGTATGTCCAACCGAAAGTGGCTCATGCAACATTGCATTCATGATTTTATACATCCCCATTTCTTATGTTTTATTAATTAAATTAAATTAAAAGGTTTTATTTAACCTTTTAATGTGCAAACAATTAAATATACATGGTGATTAATAGAGCTATTTTTCATAACGTCATACTATTTATAATTACAGTGCCTAATTCAAATTAAAAAATAAACCGTGCTATTCTAATATAAATGCAAAATAATGTTTTAAATCACCTTAAAATAACATTTATGTTTGTACTTATACAACTGTATAAACATAATTAAATAATATAATAAGATAAAGCTTTCAAAGTAATTATTTTG